GTGTCTGCAATGAATAGGTTGTTGGCTTCACAAAAATATATCAGATGCTCACCTGCTTTGTTTCTTTTGCCTAATCCAAATTTACTGACTGTTTTTTATTTTTTATTCTTTGCTTCCAACTTTTGCATTCCAATCTCCAATGATCAGCTTGACATCCTGTGTTGGTGTGCTGTCAGTTTCTTCCTGCACAATTTATTCTATGATTTCTTCATAGAATCTATCACTTTCTTCCTGTTCTGCCTCTGTGGTTGGTGCATATACTTGAATTATGGTGATATTCATAGGTTTACCATGGAGTCTTACTGAAATGATTAGGTCTGATTTTGCATTGTATCCTCTGACTGCTTTTGCCACATCTTGAAAGCTACTTTGCTTCTTCTTGCTTCTTCATTGCCTGAGTAGAACACTGTGGTTTTCTGATTCAAAGTGGCCCATTCCTGTCCATTTTAACTCACTCACCCCCAGCCATGTTCATGCGTTCCACTTCCATTTTTACTATGTCCAGCTTCTCTTGGCTCATGCTTCTCACATTCCACATCCCTATTTTATGTGTAATACTGCTTTGAATGATATTTGCCTTTGTAAGAGTGTCTGCCATTCTTATACTGGGGATAAAATGACACTAGGTGGTGCTGTAACTGTGGTTTGTAGAACAAGGGAGAAAAATGGAGAACAAGGACAAAGTTGCTTGGCAATATACCACTCCAAAATTAAGATGTAGTTTCAGATTTTAGCACTCCTGGCCAAAGGATGGGTAACCATGAACTGTTTGTGAAGACACTTACTGCACTGAAATGTAGGAAGTTGCCCTATAACTGGAATGCTTGGTGCATCATGCCCAGTGTTGTCAACCTTGACTGGCTGCTATGGATCACCTAGATTTCAGGCAGGATTCTTTCTTCACTCTGATTGGAAACCCCCAGGATTACCTAAAAATCTCTCAGCCAAGTATTAATCACCTGCTTAGTATCTGAAATCAGGCAAGATCAGATGTGTTAACCTTAAGGCAGTATGGGGGTATCAATTTCTGTAGCTGGTCATCCCTCACTTTACAAAAATCAGGTTTTTTTCTTAACTTAATTTCTGTGGGTCTAGGTGTAATTCCACCTCTCAAATTTGCCAGGGATCTCACACACATACAGTACTGGATGATTCAAACCCAGATTCAAAAATCTGAATGTGCAAGATTAAAATAAGGCATGTTAAGGGGCATGTTATGCACTTTATTTTGAAGGAGAGTTAAGCTTCTTTAAGTTCCACAGCTATTTAAAATAAGGTGCATGCTTGCATCACATATTGTTTTAGCTTGGCAAATTTCAGAAGCAATTTGCAAAAGAAAATGGATGGGGACCAGATGTGGCCCTCATGCTCTGTGCTTGCAATCCCTGCAGACTAATTGGTTTATTCTAGGGGGAAGGAGTCCAGGAAAATAATTGACAGCACACCAGCACAAGATTTCAAGCTAATCATAGGCATTTGGAATGCTAAAACAGGAAGCAGAGAAGAACCAAAAGCTGTAGGAAGATTCAGACTAGGATCAAGAAATGCATCAGGAGATCTACTGATAGAATTTTGTGAGGCCAACAATCTATTCATTGCAAATACCATCTTCATACAACCAAAGAGGAGATTGTACACATGGGCATCACCAGATGGCCAATACAAAAACCAGATAGACTCCATAATTGGAAGTAGAAGATGAAGAGGCACAGCCAAAGCAAGGCCAGGTGCTGACTGTGGTACAGATCATGAACTATGGCAAAATTAATCCCTGGACAGTCGATAGTCACAACAGCAGTACTCAGTTATGCATGTAAATATTATCAATACAATTCCAACAATTGTATTATTGTTATTGTGAACCTCTGTTTGGTGTTAAAAATGGATCTCGGCCTGGCAATGCCCAGAACTTGGAAAATCTACCTGTTTTTGGTGACAAATCCCAGAATCTCCCAGACCTGCATGGGGTTGGAAAAGCCCAGTGCTTGGAAAAGTTACCTTTGTTTTGTTCCACAACTCCCAGAACAGTCTGCATGGCCCGCCAATGGTTTCTGGAAGTTGTCATCCAAAAAGGTAATTCTTCCAAAGTATGCCACTGGGTTAGATTACTTGTGTGGATACTTTGCTTCCCCCCCCCCCCCCTGCATAAAGTGATGCCCTTTTGCAAATGTGAAATACTATCTCCAGAGATGATTATCCAATCCTCATGGGAGTCACATCCACAGGCATTCTAGAGGAGTACTCCAATCTTTGTTCTTTTTCTTGTAGCTACATTAAAGACAGTTTGTATTCCAAAGGTTAACAAGTTGCTGAACATTCCAGACTCTGACGGCCGGCTAAGTGGCCCCACAAAGCTCTAAATGGGGATGTGGTGGCAGCGGCTGCAGTGCTAATCTGGGCTCCCATAGGTGTGAGTGTATCTGGTGACAAGGGAAATGAGGAGGTACACCTAAGAGACCAATTAGTCAAGAGATAACCTCCCTTTATCAAATCTGGGCTTCACATCCAAAATTTTTGCCAGTTGGCATACCACGTAGCCCACTAACCTCAGAGCAGATGGCATAAAATCCCAAGGTTGGAAGGGACCACAAGGACCAGCTAGTCCAACCCCTGCCATGCAGGCACACTATCAAAGTACCCCCAAGAGTACTCCCAAGATATAGTGATCCAACTTGTGTTTAAAGACCTTTAGAGAAGGAGAACCCAGCACCCTCCAAGGCAGTCTATTCCATTGGTGAAAAGCTCTTACCATTCCAGAGACTGTCTTTTCAGTGCCTGTTTGAGAGTCTGGGTCTTTTCATACTACACAATTAAGGCACCATGATTCTACTTTTAACTTTCCCACTTTTACTATGGAATTCTGGAATTTGTAGTTTTGTAAGACATTAGAGACTTCTGGCTGAGAATTCTGAATATTCCTCCCTAATCTGCAAATCCCAGGATTCCATAGGCTGGTACCATGGCAATTAATGAGGAACCTTAGTGCTAAAATTGTGCATAGTGCATATTTGTGTATTGGGCTATCATAATTGTGTATCATAGTGCTAAAATTGTTCACTAGAGTTAGATAGAGTTCAAGAGCTAGAGCTCTTGTGACTGCAGGAGCTAGAATAATTCAGCTCTTCCTTACCCTGGATGGTCAATATAAATAGAATAAATAGTAGTTTGACGGCACAGCTTCACAGAGCTTGGAAAATTAACTTTTCTGGACTGCCACACTGAGAACCCCCCAGTCAGTATGGCAACTTTACTTTTCAAGGCTCTTTTCAAGGCTCAAAGCAACCTGAAAGCTTTCTCTGTGCAACTTAAAGCAATGCCTTCCAACAAATCAGACCCACAATAAAATGTTGCAGCATGGAGTGCCCCTCATTCAAGAATCCAGTAACTTCATCTTATACACCTCCCATCTTGTGATTTCTGTTTCCCCCCTTCACCATTGGTACATGATGTTGGATGCACCCCTACAGTGGGTCAGCAGCCAGGGAAAAATAACTGTACCTGGAAGTGTATCCAAGCCAAAAGCATCGCTGCAGGAGGTGCTGGTTACTTCCTTTTACAATGTCCCCTAAAGTACATATGTGACCTGTAGGATTTTAGCCTATATGTTTCATTTTCTATTGACCCTCACTGAAACTTGTTATGTTGCTGTTTGTTGAGATCTCTTTACTTCATTATTTTTTTTAAAAAAAGCATTTCCTTCAGGTGTGTGCAGTTCCCACAATGTCTGTGCTACCTATGAAACTAATAAATGCTCTGCCTATCTTGTTTGTTGTTAGCTGCCCTTGAGTCAACCTCGACTCCTAGAGACCCAGGGATGAGACCTCTCCAAGACCCCTATCCTCCACTGCTGTGTAGGTCTTGTAGACTGAGTTCAGCCATCTGGAGTGCAGTCTTCCTTTCTTTCTACTACTTTCTACCTTTCCTAGCATTATTGTCTTTCTAATGAGTCATGCCTTGTCATGATGTGGCCAAAGTATGATAGCCTCAGTTTAATTGTCTTGGCTTCCAGGGAGAATTGAGCTGTTGGTTGACCAAAGAGAACTACACTAGACCCAGAATGAGCTCTTGTAGCACCTCTCCATACCTTTTTCCATCCCACACTGAACCATGTGTCACTGCCTTTTGAGTGGAGTTTTTTCACTTTTCAGCTTATATCTCTGGGATCCATGTGCCTCTGACTCCTCCGATTCCTCTCCTAAAATCTATTTATAAAGCTAATTAAGGCAAGAGAAAAGGGATATGATAACAACATACAGCTAACAGAGCACACTTACAACAGTAAACTACCTATTTAGTGCTAAACCCACAGCTGATTAATGCCGACGTCTGCTCCATAGAATAAGGAAAAGTCACATCAGCCCACAGCACAGGTGGTGTGTGTGACAATCCCCCTCCCCCATGTGTCTTGGGGAAACTTGATGCATATGTTTTTGTTATTTATTCCCCCCCTTTCTTCCTCTCCACTTTATTTAGCACTTGCAACAATCAAGACAGATGATCACTCACCTTCACCATGCCAGTAAGTTCTAGCCTTGAGAAAGTGGGACATGCACTGGGGTTTGGGTAGGCAAGTGAGTCATGCTGCTCCCTTATTTGCATTGGCAATCAGTAGAGCTAACATTGGATGGATATTTAGAGACACTGGAGACATGTCTCAAATGTCTATGCATACGGCAGAAAGATGAGGGATAGTACTGAGTGGTAGAATAGTGGTAGAGGGCAGTATTGGCTATGTGTGGAAGTTGGCTGCTTGGCATCTGTATCAACATTTTAAGTGACACAAAGTATTTATTATGGAAACTACAAGTCTGATAAATAGGGAAGAATGAGGTCTGCTGGTTACAGCTGTATGGCTACAACACAGCCTGAAATCAGGTAGAAATGAATCTCTCCAGATGAGAGGTCATCAGGAGCTTTGAGGTGTGTGTGTGTGTGTGTGTGCGTGTATATATATACTATATATATACTATATATATACTATATATATATAGTGGTTGAGAGCCAGAGTGGTGTAGTGGTTTGAGCATTGGACTATGACTCTGGAGACCAGGGTTCAACTCCTAGCTCGGCCATGTAAATCCACTGGCTGACCTTGGGCAAATCACACACTCTTAGCTTCAGGGTATGGCAATGGCAAACCCTTCTGAAGAAACTTGCCAAGCAAACCACATGATAGGTTTGTCTTAGGACTGCCATAAGTCAGAAATGATTTGAAGGCACACGACAACAACAACATCACCAATATGTGGATGACACCCAACTCTACTACTCCTTTCCATTCCAATCCAAGGAGGCTTTCTTGGTCCCAAACCAGTATCTTTTGTCAGCAGTGGACTAGGTAAAGAGAAACATATTGAACTCAACCCAGGCAAAACAATTCAGTTGAAAGGCAGATCAGGGAATAGACATTCAGCCTATCTCGTGTTGGATGGAGTCAGACTCCCCCTGAAAAACACAGATTCTCAGTTTGTGTGTAGTCCTGTACTCAGCTTTGACACCAATCCTAGCAATGCCATTGCTGATTCAGGATTTCAGCCATTGTGTTTTATCTGTTCTTCATTTTCACTTGTGTTGTGAACTTTCTTTGGACCCACATTAAGAGAAAGACAGAATAGAAAGAAAGGCAAATAAAATAAAATCACGTCAAATTGAACCAAGTCAAGTCAGATGAAATATTTTGGTAAATGAAGGGACTTTGGACAACTAGAGAAAGAAGAAAAATGTAGAGTATAATCACACACACAAGATAGCAATTCAGAGAGACACAGCATACAGAGCTAACCAAAATGGAAATATGGAAACATTATAGGAGAGTTTTTAGGGGGGTTGCAGTGGGAGGCTTTTAAAAAGGCTCCAGCTGATTTGATTCCCTTCATCTGACAATCAGTCTTGTTGCCTCCTTAGTTGCTGTGTATTCTGTTCTCTGCTACTGGACTCCTGTTTTTTGACCTCTGGAACTGCCTGGTGAGTATGCTTCTGCTTCTCCCTTTGTTTCTAAGTACTGGACTCTTGTTGTGTGACATTTGGAATGGACTTTTGACTACTCCTTCACTTATCTCTCTGTGGTGCTATCCTCGGAAGAAGTAAATAGGACAATTTTGTTGGCTGCCCCATAAATCTCTTCAGGCAGGCATAATGGATGTACTATAACAGCAAAAACAAGAACTGGCTGCCCAAGTAATGCAGCTGGTGGCCACTGTAAATACCTTGCAAGGGCAACTTAACCAGCTCCAGCAGCTGGGGGCTCCTGCTACTCCTTGTCAGAAAGTGCTTTGCTTTGCCTGAGAAGTTTCTAGGGGAGCCTAAGCAATTGGAAGCCTTTTTGGCTAGTTGCCAGTTGTATATAAATGTGAGAGGGGAGGATTTCCTTACAGACATTGTGAAAGTTGCCTTCCTTATCAGCCTTTGGGCCTGCAGCCAACTGGGTTACACCATTGATTAGGCAGAATAGCCCTTTGCTGAATGCCTATGATTTGTAAGGGAGTTCCAGACAGCCTGGGGAGATCCAGTGAGGAACGGGACTGCTGGCTGGGAGGTCCAGAGTCTTTGTCAAGGCCAAGGTACTATTTTGCAGTATGTGACTGCTTTCAAGATGTTGATTCCTGTTTTGGGCTGGAATGACACTGCTCTCCAGAGCCAGTTCAAGGCCAGACTAGCAGAGGACATTCTGGATGAG